TACGTTTCCATTCCACTTTCCTCCATAAACTGGTGAATATTCTCTAGATTAGTATTCTGATATTAAGAAAATTCTTCTGAAATGTGGAAGTACCTTTAAAGTTCAATTTTGAAAATGAAAAGGAAAAAGGCCTCCAGACAGACCACATCCAATGGATTCAGAGTTCAATCCTCTTCTCACAAAATCACATCTTATGATAGAACTCCATCTCTAAAAACAAGCTTTGTCATGACTGACTTTCGGTCTATGTTCAAATGGTTCCTCTAACATTAGTCTTTTGTAAGTGATCTTTACACTGTGTGTAACACTTTCTATGCATAAGGTTTGCTGTAAAATGGCTTTGAGGTATTGGACCTTTCTTTTTTGTTTCGTGCTAGAACTCGATTGTCTACTCTGAAATCCAGCAAGTTTCTTTACTTTGGCCATTTCTAGAACAAGAGACATTTCGAGGGCAGTGTAAACAATTCTGGAATGAACCATCCTTCAAACAATCATCCAGAAAAGGACCCATGGAGATAAGTGGCTATAATTGGATGATTAGATCTAAAACAGCCGAATCTGATATTCAGGAATAGGAATACCACTTAATTATCTGCTAATGATGCGATCTCAAACCTGTTTCAAATTCCTTCAGAAGAGGATTACCATCTACTAATAGCAAGATTCACATAAAGGAACAGGATCCACAAAGATGAATTTTTGGAAGAAAGTAAACTAGAGAAAGAGAGAAAGAGAGAGAAAAATTGCATCCAATTTTATAGTCAAAGAGGCCAACTAACTTCTAATCTTGCTCAAACTAAAGCCTCCTAACTTTTCTTAACTGATGGGGATCAATTGCAACACCAAAGACTTCCCCTTGCTGCAGTTCCAGTCAACAAGGCCAATCAATCTTCGAATTTCTTCAAATTTGGTTCCGGATAGGGCTTTTGAACGGATGTGTATGCAGTTTCCTTTTCCGGAATGAAAATAGCCTAGAAGTTTATATCAATGATAGACTTTCCATCCCAAGCTCTACTATTTCAATATTAGTTCAGCATTTGTTTTAGTTGCAGCGAGCAGCAAGCTATAAGCTATAGTAGCATTATGAAGTACTGAGGCTAAATATGTGGCAGCTATAATTGCTCTCAAGAGTGCATTTGACTTATACATGCTTTCTTTTGATCGCTTTCTTCCAATAACTCATCTTTGCCAATCCTGTTACTTATTCACCACTCATTTAGAACAATCTTGTGCATTAGTTAGTCTTAGTCGATGGGTCAGAGTGCATTTGAGTTAGTGTCAAGAGTGCATTTGATTCAAGTGTGTTGCAAGGCCGTCCACGAGTGTGTTCCAGCCTTTTCTCTACAGTTTTCTCCATGGGCTTCTTGGCGTAGGGGATTAAGCCTGGATTCAAGTTCTCGTGTTTACGTAACATAGAAGGAAAAGAAAAGAAAGTGAGAGAGTTGGCTTGTTGTGGTGCCCATGCCCATTCGCGTGAAAAATCTCACAGACTTTCCCTCCCATTTGCTGCCCACTAAAATACAATACCACTGTCTCGTGATTTTCGATTTGACATATGTTATGTAAATGACCTCTCTAACCTAACCTCCTGAGATCCTCCCTCCTCGTTGCCACGCTGTCACAACTCACATCCATCATTGTTGGGTTGCGAGCAAGTTGCCAAAGAATACTCTATTCCATAGGATAATATTCTAAAGTTAATTTCAGGCCGACCTTCTCCGAAGTTGCTGGGGGCAGCTAGGATTTGATCTCTTTTGTTTAATTTAATAAGCTAATCTGCCTCCAACTCCCCTCCCACTTTATGTAATTGGATGATAACTCGAGATTTGGAGGGACATAATGGAGATTGAATCTGGGTTTGGTGGGAGAATAGTTGTATTGTGCGTCAAAACCAAAACCAAAACGAAAAAGGCTGACGGAAAGCATCTTGAAAAGCAAGTTGAGATCAGAGTGAAAGGAAGTGGAAAGATTTGAGTTTTGAATGGGTCAAAGTTGAAAAGGTGTGGAGAGGGTTGGGAAGTTTATTCCTAAAGCTGCCTCGAAATATTGATAAAAAGAAAAATAAGCAGAAGTCTAGGAAGAATGAGAAGCAAGAAGTTGGGGTTGGGGTTGACAACTTGCATATCCTCTGTTCAAAGAAAACAGGTCGTGTTATCAGAATGAAAGAAAAAAAAAAAAAAAAAAAAAAA